ATCCGGTCTATAAACCAGAGGTTCTGGATGGACATTTGGATATATGGTTCTATATTTAGGATGCATCCGGTCTATAAACCAGAGGCTCTGGATGGACGGTTGGATAAATGGTTCTATATAGCCGTAGTAGCAGGTAAAAATAAAAGACGTCACTGGAGGAAGAGGACGGACATGACGGGGGGGGGGTTACTGGGTGTAAATATAAAATAAGATCTTATTACCTCCTCTGCTGCCAGTTCCAGCAATGTCTCCTCTCTACTTCCCTCCAACTGACCCGGAACTTCCTGTTTGTGTGCCTATATCACTTCCTGCTTGTAACATATATCATTTCCTATCTGTGCTTTCAAGTGAGATTGCCCATGAATACTGTAGTCTACTCCGTTGTATGTATGTGTGTGCCCAACCACGGCACTACCTGCATGGAGTTTCCATGTTCTCCCTGTGCCTGCAACTCAGAATGGTCCTCAGTAGTCTGTATGGCCCCCACGTGTTTGTATGCATGCCTGACGTTGGGAGAGGCTCCTAATGAGATGACGGTTGGTGTCCTGGGGGATTTCCTCCCAGATCTGCACCAAGGCATCACTGAGCTCCTGGACAGTCTGTGGTGCAACCTGGCGGTGTCGGATGGACTGAAACATGACATCCCAGAGGTGTTCAATTAGATTTAGGTCAGGCGAGCATGGGGGCCATTCAGTGGTATCAAATCCTGTATACTGCCTGCATACTCTCATCACATGAGGTTGGGCATTGTCGTGCACCAGGAGGAACCCAGGAGCCACTGCACCAGCGTAGGGTCTGACAGTGGGTCCAAGGATTTCATCCCGATACCTAATGGCAGTCAGGGTGCCATTGTCTAGCCTATAGAGGTCTGTGCGTCCCTCCATGGACATGCCTCCCCAGACCATCACTGACCCACCACCAAAACGGTCATGCTGAACCAAGTTACAGGCAGCAGAACGTTCTCCACGGCTTCTCCAGACCCTTTCACATCTGTTACATGTGCTCAGGGTGAACCTGCTCTCATCAGTGAAAAGCACTGACCTGTCAATTCTGGTGTTCAATGGCAAATGCCAATCCAGCTCTATGGTGCCAGGCAGTGAGCACAGGGCCCTCTAGAGGACTTCAGGCCCTCAAACCACCCTCATGAAGTCTGTTTCTGATTGGTCAGAGAAATTCACACCAGTGGCCTGCTGGAGGTAATTTTGTAGGGCTCTGGTAGTACTCATCCTGTTCCTCCTTGCACAAAGGAGCAGAAACCGGTCCTGCTGATGGGTTAAGGACCTTCTACGGCCCTGTTCAGCTCTCCTAGAGTAACTGGTTGTCTCCTGGAATCTCCTCCATGCTCTTGAGACTGTGATGGGAGACACAGCAAACCTTCTGCCAACGGAACGTATTGATGTGCCATCCTGGAGGAGTTGGACTGCTTGTGCAACCTCTGTAGGGTCCAGGTATGGCCTCATGCTACCAGTAGTGACACTGACCCTAGCCAAATGCAAAATGAGTGAAAAACAGTCAGAAAAGATGAGTAGGAAAACAAAATGTCAGTGGCCTCCACCTGTAAAACCATTCCTGTTTTGGGGATCATCTCATTGTTGCCCATCTAGTGCAATTTCATTAACACCAAAGAAGCTGATGAACAACCCCCTCTGCTACTTAACTGACCAGATCAATATCCCAGGAGTTTCATCGACTTGATGCTAGACTCCGATTACAAAGTCTTCCTTTCATTTTTTTGAGCAGTGTATATAACATTTAAAAAAAATTGTGGTACTTACTCTCCTCCTGAAGACTCCTGGGATGTATGACATCATTTGCCTAGGCATGGAAACCAGGAAGTAACTGAAGAAATGCAAAAAAAAAAAAAAAAAAGTTTAAAAACAAAAAATATATACTTTCCTATTTATTTACTAATGCTAGCAGCAAAAGGATTAAAAATAGTCAATGCTGATTGAGAGAGTGAGTGAAGTTCCCCTTTACATATGGCCAACGTACATAATGCACAAATACAGTGTAGTCGGGATCAGTCATCCCTAATTAAATACTAAAGAAAAAAAATCAAAAAAAGTAAGAATGTTTATTCAGGAGACACAGCCTCTGGCCTCTTGGAAGTCCAATAGAAGTCTCTTAAAGTAAAACTTCCCTCTCTCTAATAACATGGACTATGTTTAATCCTTACACTGCTGGAGTTAGTAAATAGACAGAAAAGTATATCATTGTTACTTGTTTTAAACTTTTTTTTACATTTCTTCAGTAACTTGGTGGTTTCCATGTCTAGGCAAAATGACGTCATACAACCCAGGAGTCTTCAGTAAGGGAGAGAGGGTTCTCAGCTCAGATTATGACTGAGCCAAGGCAGATGGATATAGTGGATCAATATCAGTAAGTATAAGGGGGGGAGCTGCACATAGAAAAAAAAAAAGTACATACTGCCCAACGAATCACTTGCTTGTGGCTCAGGAAAATTACGCTTGAATTTAGTTACATATAACACCAGCCAAGTCTCTCCATCTTCTCTTGTAGCTTAGTAAAAACACTTACATGGTGTGCAGTGAGTCCATTAAATATTTCAGGCTCTGATGTAATAAACAGAATTTTTTGCAAAACAAAATATGGTTCATAGTGGCCAAGTACAAATGCTATCACACTGGGCAGTGAGTTTATACAATATGGCTGCTGTCTTTGAAATAACACTCGAGAATACAAATTTCATAACCTCACCCTTTTAGATTGCTGCCAAAAGCCCACATCAATTTGCTTTCATACTCTCCAGCCACTGAGCCATGCTTGGCTAAGCAGGACTTCATTGCAAAAGCTGGGCACACAGAAGCAAAAGCCACAGAGTAGATATAAAGAGCTCAGTGTCCACCATCCACACTACATTCTCCGACAGCTCTCCTCCCCCCTCCCCCCATCCACACTACATTCTCTAACAGCACTCCTCCCCCACCATCCACACTACATTCTCCGACACATCTCATCCACCATCCACACTACATTCTCCGACAGCTCTCCTCCCCACCATCCACACAAGATTCTCCGACAGCTCTCCTCCCTCCACACTACATTCTCTGATAGCTCTCCTCCCCCCACCATCTACAATACATTCTCGGACAGCTCTCCTCCCACCATCCACACTACATTCTCTGACAGCTCTCCTCCCCCACCATCCACACTACATTCACTGACAGCTCTCCTCCCCCACCATCCACACTACATTCTCTGACATCTCTCCTCCCCCACCATCCACACTATATTCTCTGACAGCTCTCCTCCCCCTCCCATCCACACTACATTCTCTGACAGCTCTCCTCCCACCTCCACACTACATTCTCTGATGCTCTCCTCCCACCATCCATGCTACCTTCTATGAAAGCTCTCACCGACATTCATTTTCTGACAGCTGACTCCTCACTGTCTGTAATTACTTTGTTTCCCATCTTATCCATATATTTACTGGAGCATTCTTTCGAGTGGTCTATGAGGGTGATTTTACCAAACTGACCACAAGTGGAAGGAACATTCTTTCCAACATTTCAAGAAGTCCATCTGCACTGACCACCTGTGTAAAAAGATCCTTCACTTTCTACCAAAGTAAGTGGGCCTTGGTCTATTTTTTACAGTCACCCTTTCTGCATTCAGTAGGTTAGATCCATATCCAGGCTTTTCAGCAGAAGACAAAAACAAAAGATAGACTGAGTTTCAATTATTGTTCCTGCATTTTATTGCCTATATATTGCTACAATTGCATGTTTCTTGCCGTGTATTGATAAAATTGTCCTGGTATTGTCACAAATGCTAGTTTGCTACCCACAGTTACATGACTAGCTATGCAAGTATTAAAGCATCTCAGTACTTGTTTAAATGAGGACTGAATTACTAGAATTTATTCTTGGTTCACTGTACATCACTTGGCTTGTCTTGGAGAATCTGAGGCTCAATAAGTTAAACGTTTGGTATGATTATATCTTGGTGTACCATTGTAACCTATTATGAGTGGCTAGCACTCACTATGCTGTATTTATGAAAAAAAAAGAGGAATGGGGATGCTAGAATGTGGGGAGCAGAAACTGTAGCAGAGAAATTCCACCATCGGGAGTCTCCAAAAAAAATACGAGTAAAAAAAAACCCGGCTCCATCCATCTCCTATAAACGTAAAACCACTTTTTCCAAGACGCACCCCTTTATAAACGAAATATTTTCTTCCTACAGTTGCATTATGGATCAGTAACTTCCGCTAGTAAAAACTGTTGTCACCATGGATGGATCTGTCGTTTGTCATTTGTTGGGAACATGACATTATATTGAGGAACGGAGATGGACCTTTCATATGGTGTACAGTATCTCCTCATTTGTTGGGAACATGACGTTATATTGAGGAATGGAGATGCACCTTTCATATGGTGTCCAGTACCTAATCCCCATTTGTTGGGAGCATTACGTTATATTGAGGAATGGAGATGCACCTTTCATATGGTGTCCAGTACTTCCTCCTCATTTGTTGGGAACATGACATTATATTGAGGAATGGAGATGGACCTTTCATATGGTGTCCAGTACCTCCTCCCCATTTGTTGGGAACATGACGTTATATTGAGGAATGGAGATGGACCTTTCATATGGTGTCCAGTACCTCCTCCCCATTTGTTGGGAACATGACGTTATATTGAGGAATGGAGATGGACCTTTCATATGGTGTCCAGTATCTCCTCCTCATTTGTTGGGAACATGATGTTATATTGAGGAATGGAGATGGACCTTTCATACGGTGTCCAGTACCTCCTCCCCATTTGTTGGGAACATGATGGTATATTGAGGAATGGAGATGGACCTTTCATATGGTGTCCAGTACCTCCTCCCCATTTGTTGGGAACATGACATATGTCAAAAGAAACAGCAGGCGCATTTCCTCTGATGTCTAATTAAACTTCTTTTATCTCTAAATCATTTCCCGCAGTCTGAATACACTGAGGATTCTGTGTAATGTGAGTTCTCTGATGTGCCACAAGGGCTTCTTTCTGAGTGAAAGATTTCCCGCACTCAGTACATGAATAAGGCCGCTCACCCGTATGAATTCTTCGGTGCTTTGCAAGGTTCCCTTTCTGAGTGAAAGATTTCCCGCACTCTGAACATGAATATGGGCGCTCACCCGTGTGAATTCTCTGATGTTCCACAAGGACTCCTTTTACAGTGAACGATTTCCAACACACCGAACATGAATAAGGACGCTCACCGGTGTGAATGCGCTGGTGTTTAAAAAGGTCTTCTTTAAAAGAGAAAGATTTCCCGCACACTGAACATGAATAAGGACGCTCACCTGTGTGAATTTTCTGGTGTTTAACCAGGCCTTCTTTCTGAGTAAAAGATTTCCCGCACTCTGTACATGAATTCTCACCCGTGTGAATTCTCTGGTGGGCAACAAGGTCTCCTTTATGAAAGAAAGATTTCCCGCACTCTGAACATGAATGAGGACGGTCACCTGTGTGAATTCTCTGGTGTTTAACAAGGGCTCCTTTATGAGTGAAAGATCTCCCGCATTCTGAACATGAATAAGGACGCTCGCCCGTGTGAATTCTCTGGTGTGCATCAAGGCCTTCTTTACGGGTGAAAGATTTCCCGCACTCTGAACATGAATATGGACGCTCACCTGTGTGAATTCTCTGGTGGGTATCAAGGCCTCCTTTATGAGTGAAAGATTTCCCGCACTCTGAACATGAATAAGGACGCTCACTTGTGTGAATTCTCTGGTGTGTATCAAGGCCTCCTTTAAGAGTGAAAGATTTCCCGCACTCTGAACATGAATAAGGGCGTACACCTGTGTGAATTCTGGTGAGTAACAAGATTATCTTTCCTTTTGAAAGATTTCCCACACTCTGAGCATAAGTAAGGACACTCAATAGTATGTGATTGGTCAGAAGATTCCCCCTGATCAGAGGGATCCACTGATGTCTCCGGACAGGAAGGTCTGTGATGGATATTGGGTGTATTTGGATTCACTCTTGGAGAATCCTGTGTGATGGCATTATCTTCTGACTTCCAATCAGCAGATAATAGAAGACGTCTCTCCGAGGTATTCCTTGCATAACATCCATCTGATGGAAAGAAATGTAAAAAAGTCAGTAGTTCACAAAATAACTGGATTTTTAGCTTTACCGTCCCATCAGTGGAATAAGTGGAAATGCCGATCTCACAGCTGGGCTCCTGTTCTCCCTCCAAAATCAGTCTGGAAAATGGTCATACTGGAGTCTATAAATGATCTGCAAAGTCTAATATTAAATAGCTATGACTGGTTTAGTTAGCCAAAACGCATTAGTGGTTTGTTACTACATTGGATTGCCTGTATTTGTCTGGATTTTAAATTATAAATATTTTGCAGATCATATATGGAGTCCAGTGAGAACACTTTTCTAAAATGTCAGCAATAAAAAGTCACATTGGTCCAACAGTTTCATAGAGCTCTGGCATGGAAACTGGGTGCAATTGACGTTATATTGAGGAATGGAGATGGACCTTCCATATGGTGTCCAGTATCTCCTCCTCATTTGTTGGGACCATGACGTTATATTGAGGAATGGAGATGGACCTTTCGTATGGTGTCCAGTATCTCCTCCTCATTTGTTGGGAACATGACATTATATTGAGGAATGGAGATGGACCTTTCATATGGTGTCCAGTATCTCTCTCCTCATTTGTTGGGAACATGCTGTTATACTGAGGAATGGAGATGGACCTTTCCTATGGTCTACAGTATCTCCTGTGTACGTGCAGATGTGCCAAAGAAATCTGCCACAACCCAAATGCCGCCGGAAAGAACCTTTTAGCAGATTTGCGCAAGTGCCATAATGGCGGCACTGCAAAGCACGGGGTGCGGAGCCACTGAAAAAGAGAACTGAGATTTGTTTTTAACTATTATTTTATCTTGATTCTTCAATCACAATCACTCATCAATTGCATAACACCTTTGTCCTACATACTTGTGCAAATGCACGCCAAAGGTGTGCACACATATGAAAACCGCGGTCGCACCACACGTGAGATATCATAGTGAAATGTTGAAGTGAAAGCACTAATTTTAACAGAATGGCTCCTAGTTAACTCAATATTGATGAGCTGTAAAGGCTTTCAAATCGTAACCTATAGATTTTTGGGCACCATATTTTTTTGGGATATTACGGGCATACGCAATTTTAAGACTTGACATGGTTGGTATGTGCATAAAATAAAAAAGATTTGCTCCAGAACCGATCTGGTTAAACTACAATCCTTACTTGGAAATAAAATGAGACCCGTTTCTTCCATAGTGCCTCTACTTACCTGTGCCAATAGGTAGAAAAACTTCTTCCTGTTCACTTTTTATAATCATCCCAACCTCCTCCGTGGACGGCTGATCCCCCCCCACATACATCTCCTCTTCTTCCTCTTTGACCTCAGATTTTATATTAATCTGTTCTTCACCCTAAACCCCAAAATAATCAAAAACATCTATTCAAATTTACTCCGGGAAGATATAAAAGCCAATAATGACAGCTTTTCTGCAATCATTAATACATCATTCAATGAGTTTTTTTTTTTTATTAATGTAAGCAGTATAAGTACCTGAATGTGACCTGGTATCAGGCTCTTGCAGTCCACCTACCTGATGATTGTGAGGGATGGTGTGATCTTCCTGTGTGGAATCCTGGGAATACAGAGAACAACCCCTCCTCCATAGAATGCGAATCACAAAAAACACCTCTTCTTTTTCCACTTTAACCTCAACTTTGGTGTTTTTCAGTTCTTCACCCTAAAGCACAAATATGATAGAATGGACTTGTAGAAAAAAAAACAAGAGATGACAGAAGAATGTAATCTAAAAGTATAGAAAGCTATTTCAGTTCTAGTTGCTCAGTCCTACCTACCTGATGATGGTGAGGAATGGTGTGACCTTCCTGTGTGGAATCCAGGGAATACAGAGGACGGGGACATCTCTCTGGTGGGTTCCCATGACTGGATCCATCTGTAGGAAACACACACACTGACTGAATACATTGTTTCTATGTGTTTATCAGATGATGGGGGATCTAGGTGAAGCCTCTGTACTGCTCTCTCCTTTACAATAAAGTCTCCTCTTACCCGGTGATGTGAGGGGCAGCTGATTGTAAATCATGACGTCCGTGTTAAGATCATAATATCTGATGTGAAGGTCTAAATATCCTCAGTCATCAATGTATATCCTTGAACAGGAACATTTGCTGTATTTAATGTTCATTTCTCACCTGTGCTGGTATCGAGAGAAGGTTTCTTCTCTTTAGTTGTCACCATCATCCCAACTTCCCCCATAGACTCTCCTGATAATCCATCACCTCTTCCTCCTCTTTAAACTCAACTTTCACATACATCTGTTCTTCATGCTAAACCAACAAAAAAGAACGAAAACTTTACAAATGTGAGGACCAATAGCCAGAGAGAAGAATAAAATCTCATACAGTCTGGAGCCACTTTTATGTTCTTTCCATCTACCTGATGATGGTGGGGGATGGTGTGACCTTCCTGTGTGGAATTCTGGGAATACAGAGGACCACACTCTGCCATAGATTGCTGAGCTCCACTCACCAATTTCTCTTCTTCTTCCTCTTTAATCTCAGCTTTGATATCTTCCAGTTCTTCTTCCTAAGTCCCAAAATATGTTAGAGAACAATTTTTAAAAAAGCAAGAAATTATATAGATCATTACCTATCATCTCAAAGATTAGAATTATTTTTGAGTTGTAATTGCTCAGTTCCACCTACCGGATGATGGTGAGGGATGGTGTGACCTTCCTGTGTGGAATCCCGGGAATACAGAGGTCGGGGACATCTCTCTGGTTGGTTCCCATGACTGGATCCATCTGTAGGAAACACATACACTGACTGAATCCATTATTTCTATGTGTTTATCAGATGATGGGGGATCTAGGTGGACCCTCCGTACTGCTCTCTCCTTTACAATAAAGTCTCCTCTTACCCGGTGATGTGAGGGGCGGCTGATTGTCCATCATGACGTCCTTGTAGAGGTCCTTGTGTCCTTCTAAATACTCCCACTCCTCCATGGAGAAATAGACAGTGACATCCTGACACCTTATAGGAACCTGACACACACAATGATACAGTCACCATCCAGACACATCCCTTGTCTGTTACTGGAGAATGTCCCAGAATTCCTGGCACCGCTCACCTCTCCTGTCAGCAGATCAATGATCTTCTGGGTGACTTCTAGAATCTTCTTATGGTTTCTCTTGCAGAGCTCCGTCTGCCCTCTATCTTTAAATTTCTATTATCTCCTCTTTTGCCAGTTCCAGCAATGTCTCCTCTCTACTTCTTCCTGACTTGCCTCTCACCCAGAACTTCCTGTTTGTGTGCCTAAATCACTTCCTGTCTGTAACTTACATCATTTCCTGTCTGGTATGTTCAATGTGAGAAGGTCTCTTGAATATAAATACTGCAGTCTACTACGCCAACGTGTGTTCCTCCACAACATATAAATGTATAATAATAATAATAGTGTGTGACTGTGGGGGAGGGGACATTAGAGTGTAAATTTTTGTTTATTAAAATCTTGCAAACAAAAAACATCATAAAAACATATTTACATATATACAGAATAAAATATAAACAAAAACCAGCTTACATCAGCAAAACAATAACAAATCCTGACCGTCACCTAAACACCCCCTCAGGCTAAGAAACGATGAAACATTGATCCCATGCATGCAGCCTTTCTTCAAAAATCTGATGTTACAAAATCTAGGGGACGTGAAAGGACAGAAAGAGAAGCCACGCCCCCAGAGACTGACAGACAGCAGCTACGGGGACCTGACATTCCTCCACGCCTTTGTCCAGGCTCCCTGCCGCCACCTGTCCTTCTCAAGACCCCGAATCTTCCCAACCTCACCCAGAATGTTGTTCACCACCACCTCGACAGGAAGGACTTTTTTGCGAATGGAAACCTGACACCGTGCATTCCACGTGTAGTAACGGACTGCTAAGCTAACTAGAAAAAAGTGTCTCAAAATCAAAGTCCCGGTGAGTCTGAAAGGCACCGTAAGACCACTCCGCGTAACTCAAGCGAGAAAGGAAAGGGATCCCCAGAGCCCCACCCACCCGCTTGTAGACATCTATATTGAAGGGGCACTGAAGCAAGAAATGGTCCATCGTCTCCTCCACTCCACCGCACTCCACTCTTGGACAACCACGGTTCTCCGCAGAGCGATGCTTCAGGTTGCCCTTCGCATAGAGTCTGCCATGGAACGAGAGCCAGGCCAAATCCCGAAACTTTAAAGGGATTCTCTCCAGATTCATCAAACGCAGACCCTCCCTCATAATGGGCCTGGGCAATCCCTCAAGGCCAATGGCTCGCTAAAGGCAGATTCAACAACCCTCCTCTCCAGGGCCTTCCTAGGAAGAGATTTAATTTCCTCCGCCGTCACTCGCCATTACCGAAGCATTTTCAGACATGGGGCAACATAAGCCGGGAGCTTACCATGTTGGACCCTCAGGCTTTTCACTGGCCCACCATTCTCCCAGCTCCGTAGAAAAGGCCTAAACCAGGACTGAAAAATACCAACCCACCCAGGCGGTTCCTCTGCCAGCATGCTACCAAAAAATTATGTTTCAAAAACATCAGAGAAAA